ACCAATTAAATGTCAATAGTATTTTTTTCAAGATGTTTCTAGCTGCAAATTCATCATATTGCTTATGTGGTTGTGCATACAACAGTCCATAAGTGTTAAAAAGTAACGCTTAGTTAGCATAACTTCTTGGATCTAGTGAAAATGGACGGGGAGGATCAAAAATATTAACGTTTTCGCTAGGTCAGAACCAAGTATTAAATGATCTTTAACTTCTAAGGCCATATCAAGAGCAGTAAATGCAATGAGTTAAATATATAATTTCCAAAGTACCCGAATTTCTCAACATTCCAGTAATATTATTTTGTTGATCATTAGTTCGGGAATTTACTGCAAAGCAAGCATAGGAAGACAGAAGTCTGTAAATGGCGAAGTTCTAAATATTCTTTATAGTCTATACATGTCGATGATTCTCTACTAAATACTTGTTGTCCAGACAACTGATCCGGTTCAATAGCCCTGTGTTGTAAGAGTTTTTAAGTTCTTCGTTTGTCGTGCCGTCCATCCACTGCCATAACGGCGAACTTGATGTCTCACAAATTGGTGAACAGAGGGCTGAAAATATCTATGATTCACGGTAAGGTTGAAAGTGCCCTGGTGTAGAAAGTCGTATCATGTCGTTAGCATAAGTAAATAACAAAATGGGCGCAAGTCTCAAGAATTTCTAAATTTTTATAATCCAGAAAATCTCTATCTAAATTACTTATCAGTTACTTTGTTCTGTGCTGTGTACAAACTATTGAAATTTCCTTATGCGATTTTTCCCTAAAACTTTATCAACTGGCTTCCCAATTTCACAATACAAGGGCTTATCCGGAGAGACTATACACAACGATATGAAATGCACGTTGTGTAAATGCTACTTTCCGTCAGCTGTTTACATAAACTTCAGAAGGAAAGCTAGTACAACCGTCGGTGTGATTGCGTTTTAGCCTCGGACTATGTGATTGACAAAAAAACAAACACCGACATTTGGTCCTTCTATCGAGAGACACAATTAAAAGCCACTCGCAATCGATTCTGAGTATTGCCGATTTTAGTCGAATAGGTTCCGATGCTGGGTCTTGGCTGACTGGCTGAATCCATGTTTGCGGTTTACAAGCATTTCGTTTAAATTTGGAGTACAGTCGACTGTTGACTGAAAGAAAGTAAAAATTATCTACTAAAGGTTGTTTGCTTTCAACAGTGGTAAGCTTCGTTTGCAAATTATTTACTCTACCGTCTACATAAATGCAAGAAGGCAGACAAAGTTTGGATTAGGAGGCCTGAAAATGAAACTTTCACAGAGCAGTCTTTGGCAAATTCTGCTGGCTAAAATTCTGAGGATGATTCAAGCGCCTCAGAGAAGGCATACACGTTTTTCCCTAACTTACAATATTTTCCTCTACTTTTCAGCAATGCCTGGCGACTTATACATTCGAGTTTTGAAACTGACAATACTGCCTTTGATTATGTCAAATGTGATTGTTGGTGAGTCGGCAGGAATCTTGTCTTTGATTAATTCCTGATAATTTTTGCCCTTATTTCAATTTCAACTGGAAAATTATGTTTCTCCGATGTGGTTTATCCTTTCAGTGTTTTCTTTTTAAATGTTTATTTAGTCATTGCCAAATTGGATCCGAAAGAAAATGGCAAAATCAGTTTAGTTGCCTTCATTTACATTGTGATCGCAAACATCGTCGGATCATCCATCGGAGCTGCCTGTACCGCAGCCATTCGTCCAGGTAAGAGCATAGCCAGTCCATTCTAACTCTTTGGGCTAGACCAAATATCTGCATGTTTAGAGGGTTTCTATGAATTTGAATGTCTTTCATCCACTTAATTAAATACGCACATTAAAAAGCTTTAGTTGAGCTTCTCCTTTTACATTTCCAACCGAGAATAAATCGCGGTTTGATGCTGTTTTCGCTGAAAATGAAATCGATATTTTTTTGCGACAAGGTCAACTTGGTTCGACCGGAGGCGAAGAGGGCACTGATGATCCCAGAAAGAAGAGCCCTACCACTTCGGATGTCTTCGCTGATCTTTTCTTGTGAGTCAGTTTATAGTATCATTAAAATTTTGCATGAACTTGTGCAAGCAGGGTTTAAAAATGCGATTGTGGAAACTAGTTGAAACCAGTGGACTGAAGTGTGTGCTGGTAAACCTTTCAAACATTGACCAAGATTAAGTAAGACTCGAATTAGTAGAATGGGGCATTCTACAGACTGTGACTATTGCTGAATTCTCTTCACGCAGTAAATTAGCGAGAAGTTGGACAAAAGTGAAAATTGTTCTAGTAGATCTTCCTTCGAGAATTAAACGAGCGTCAGGTTGTAACTTATTTTTTAGGCCAGCCTAGGTTTCTAAAATACAAACCAGCTGAATTTGAATGCATGCTATATTTTATGTACCAGGTACAAACTTACATACCTTTTCATATAGCCATATGCCAATTTATCCGTGTATGAAATCTAGGAATGTTTGTTTTTACTGGTACTACGAGGTCAGTCAGTGCGTGACCGTGCCAGGTGTCGGATTAAAATAATTGCGAAAGATTAAGTCAGTTTAACTGTTCACTCCTGTTTAACTTTATCATTATAAATTGCATTTTGTTAAGGCAAGATGTCCATAAGTAAAAAGAGAAACCGACCAAAAACCAAACACATTGTCTAAAAGGGAAAGAAAGAACATAAGAATTTTCTGGAGTTATTAGTAAAATACACATAAATACGCTTTTCAAGGCTGAAAAAAGGTATTATAACTAAAGTATTATCGAAACTTCCAGCTACACAGCTATTACGCTTAAAGTGAAAATAAGATAAGTTATATGATTTTGTTAATGGCCCTAAAACTTCCATCTACTCTTCTAACTTTACCAACGAATCTATTACAATACCTTTAATGTTAGGATCATAGTTGTACGATTTTGGTATACTTCATGATCAAATGCAAGTTTTAAATTTGCGCTTTGGCAAGCATTCTGAATTTTCCTCAACCCCAAAGGAAGAAGCGGACTTGAAAAGTAGTAATTACTTTTTTTTCGTTTTCAGGAACGTTTTTCCGGACAACATTGTTGGAATCGCAATCTTTCAGGCAATTTTTATATAATTTTTTTAATAATCCATATTTTTAAACTTTTGCTTAATAATTTGACGCCGAGGATGTCTTAATGTTGATAATACTATCATCACTAGCAGTCGCTTTTCAACACTTTAAAGTTTCCCAGTAGTTCCCTAGTTAGACGGGAGTTCAGCAACAGATGTCCTAAGATGACATCACGATTCTGGGAATTTGGACGGTCCACAACTTTGATTTTGTCTTATTTCGAAAGTGCCATAATGAAGAACGTCATCTTTTATGCAATGATTTATAAAGCTTGCTAAGGCTTAAGATTATGCAAATTTAGAAAGGTACTTCTACATCGATTTGAAGTTCAAGTTGTCCACATTATATAACAATTGACAGAAAAAGCTAATATATTAAATGTTTTGTAGGTAGTGACTTCTTACAAATTCATAGGCAACGACAGTCACATAGCTTTTGAAAGAATTGTGGGGAACGAGGACGGCACAAACATGATTGGTAAATTTAATCGTTTTTTGTAGTTCTGTAACCTGATAATTATCTAAACGTAACATTTTTCTTCGGTAACACACTTTCTTTCAAAATATTCAGCATGTTAGGTTAATTGCCGAACTTCAGCTTATGAAAGACGATATGGACCGGAAATAACCCCAACGAACAGAGGCAAATAAGCTAGTCTCACATTTCTATCGTAAAAACGAAGATCTTGAATTCAGCCGGACGGTAAAAGGATTATCTCGGGATTTCGGACTCGCATAGGTGCCTGTCGTCAGTGGCCCCGAAGCATCAATAACACATGAATCGTTTGTTAG